TACTAGAACTGAACAGGGTGTCCGGCAAATTTGCAAAAATAAAATCAGGATGCAAAAATCAGTCATATTTCTCTATACTAGGAAAGAGCAATTGGGACTTGAAAATAAAAAGTTACCGTATGCAGAACCATTAAAGATCATGAGATATTTAGGTACACTAAGAAATAATTGCAAGGTCTGTGAACCGTAAAATATAAACTAGCATGAAATAAAGAAATAAAGAAGACTTTACTAAGTGGAGAGATATACCACGTTCATGGATCAGAAGACTCAATATTGTTAAGATATCAGTTTTGTAAAAATATCTCTAAATATTCAATACAAAAAGTCCAGAAAAAGACTCACACGTACAAGGCTAACTGACTTTAAAAAAACTGAGCTGTATTAATTTAATTTTTTAAAGTAGGCTCTACACCCAATGTGGGGCTTGAACTCACAACCATGAGATCAAGAGTTGCATGCTCTACCCACTGGGCCAACCAGCCGCCCCAAAGCCAACTGATTTTTGATAAAATTCAAAATAATTCTATTAAGAAAATGTACCCAACAAATAGCGTGCAATAACTGGATGTACACATGCAAAAATGTCCCCTAATTTATGCTTCACGCTTTATCCAATAATTAATCAAGATAGATTGCAGACCTAAAAGCAAAACCTAGCATCTAAACTTCTCAAAGAAAATGTAGGAGAAAATCTTTGTGATTTAAGATTTCCCAGATGTGACACCCAAAGCATAATCCATAGAAGAAAAAATATTAAGCTGGATTTCATCAAAATTAAGAACTTTTTGAAAGACATCTAGAAAAAATGAACAGATAAGCTGTGGACTTGAAGGAAATATTTGCAAATCACATATCTGATAAAGATCTGTATCCAGAATATATAAATAACTCACGAAACAAAACAAAAAACTCAAACACAAACACAAACAGTCTAACAAAATACAGAAAGATTTGAATAGACATTCCCCCAAAGGAGATGAACAGATGGCAAATAAGCCCATAACAAGTGCTCGACATCATTCTTCACGAAGGAAACAAGTGAAAACCACAGAGGGATATCGCTACACGTCTACTAGAATGGCTAAAATTGGGGAAAAACCTCAAAATACCAAGTGCTGGTGAGGTTGCGGGGTAACTGGACCTCTTGAACATTGCTGGTGAGGATGTGAAACAGTGCAGCCAGTGCAGAAAGTAAGCGTGGTGCTTTCTTAGAAGGTCAAACATACACTCACCACCCAACTCTGCCGCTCCACCCCTAGCTGTTTACTCAGGTGAAATAACAACTTACTTTCACATCTGTATGCGAACGTCTATAATGGCTCTGTTTGTAATAGCCCCAAACTGAAGAAATGCATATGTCCTTTGGTGAATGCATACGGAAACTATGTATTACATCCATGGAAGTACTCAGCAGCAACAAAAAGAAATGAATCACTGAGAAACACAACAACATGGACGGTTCTTAAACTCATCATGCCACGTGAGAGAAACCAACCCCTGAAAGCTACACACTGTATCATCCCACCTGATGGCTTTCTGAAGAAGGTCAATGAAACAGAAAATAGGTTTCCAGGGATGGGAAATTGGGGGAGGGCTGACTACAAAGGGCATGGGGGATTCTGGGGAGATAGATCTGTTTCATATCTTTTGCTTGTGGTAGTGGATTCACGACTGTATGACTTTGTCAAAACTTGCAGAGTTATCCACTAAAGAGAGAGAATTTTACTGTACATAAATTATATCATAATAAAAACGAAAGCAAGATCTCTAAGAACAGAAATGATTTCACCCCCCCCCCCACCTTCTGCTTTCTCTTGCTTATTCCATCCCAGTCACAGTGAGCTCCTGCTGCTCCTCAAACCACCAGGCATGTTTCTACCTCAGGACCTTTGCACTGGCTGACCCTTCAGTCTGGGGAACATCCTTCCTCCAGATAGCTGCTTGGCTCAGTTTCTCACCTCCTTCGAGTCTTGGCTCAATTATTACCTCCTAGATGAACTTATTTAAAATTGCAACCTGCCCCCCACCCGCCTCTCTACCCCCTCCCCCTCTCAATTTTTTCCCCATCACTTTTAACCTTGTAGCATTAGATAACTTATTTTATTACATCTACTGTTTATCGGCTGTCTGCCCCACTGGAAGGTAGCCAGCGGGGCAGGGATCTTTATGTCTTATCTCCACTTGTATCCCCCAACACCTGCAACAGTGCCTGGCACACCAAGCAGGTGCTCAGCAAATATTTGTGGGATGAATGGTAGAGCGATGTATCAAAGCAACAGTGAGCCCATCCTCATCTCTGGAAAAGGCCTGTGACAGCCCCCCTGCTCTCTCCCCGACAGCGCCCTCGCCAGGATCCAGCTGTCCAAGCCCCGTCCACTTGACCGGTCAGCCTTTGCTCTCCTGGGCCCGCTGCCCAGAGCATGGGTCCTTTCTCCTTCTCTCTCCCTGTCCCTTTCAAGGCAATGCACAGAGGCCCACCCCTCTTGACTTAGAAAGAGCATCCTGGGGTTGGGGTGCCTCCCCCGACTCCCCAGCTGACTGAGGGCCCTCCCTGGCTCTCCTGAACCCCGGTGTCACTGCTGACTACCCCCTGGCCCTTTTCCTTCCCAAGTGTCCCCCGGGATGTGCTGGCTATCCCTGGGTCCCCAACATGTCCTGGGCAGGCTGTCAGTGAAGGTCGATAGATCGAACGAGTGAACGGGTGAGTCTGAGGCACACTGCCTTGGGGGGACTTCCTCAGACAGAGAGACCCTCCTCCTCCCGTCCTCCCGGAGCTGTTCCTGGCAGTCCTGCCTCCGCCAGCTCCCTTCCCAGACGGCGTTCACGCTCACTCCATCCCATAGCCATGCCTGAACTTAGGACCCTCCCCACCGTCTGCCTCCTTGGGAACCAGTGACCAGGTGGCCAAGCAGGGGACACTCCTGGGGTTGCCAGAGATGTCGCATTTCTGCACTCAGCCAGACTGTCCTCAGGAAGCTGCCACGTCCAGGGCACGTGTCGGGATGACAGCGTTTACCAGGTGTCGGGCAGAGATGGGCTGGGGCCCTTGGCCTGGAGTGGCTGGCCATCTCCGTCATTCCTGAGCCCTCCACAGTGCTCGGGGCAGCCTCACCCCTTCCTGCCTTCATTCCTTCAGTGAGTACCTATTGCATGCCAGGCACTGCTCCAGGCCCTGGGGCTTTGTCTGAACGACACACAAAGAAACCCCTTCCCTCGCAGTGCTCGTGTTCCGGGGCAGAGGCGATGGACAGACTCTGTCCTGCACCAGCTGGGGACAGTGAGATGGAGAAATCGAGCAGGGACAGGGTTTGGACAAGCTGCAGGGCCATGCTAGACAGCCTGGTCAGGGAGCCTCCGCCATTGGGGTGCTGCTGGGGTGAGGCTGTCCGACAGGTGCCCGGTGTGGGGGTGCTGGGTGGCTGGACGAGTGAGTGATGCATAGATGAAGGCATTCTGGCGGGGGGGAGGCTCGCCCCTGCTGCACACAACGTCCTGCCGGAGAGGGATGGGCGCCCCTCTCGTCACCTCTCCTCTGACCCTCCATCCCCACCTCATCACACTCCATACTGTCCTCACACACCAACACCAAGCGGTGCCGAGACACAGAGAGGTTCAGTGACCTGTCCCAGGACACACAGGCTCTGTGGGAGGAGGCTGGTTCAGACCCAGCCTGAGTCTGAAGCCTGCATCCTGGGGATGGTGGCCGGTGGGGCTCAGTGCACACTTGAACCTTTCTGCCACCTCTCAAAAAACCAGCCACTTCCCTGCCACTCCCAGAAAGTGTGACCTTCCCGATGGAGGCTGGCTGGTGCCACCTCTGTGGGCATCTCACCAGGGGTTGGAGCCCGGCTCCCCTCTGCACCCAGGAGGGAACTCAGGCTGCTCAGCGTCACCCTCAAGCACTTGGCCGGTATCTTGCCCTAAAACGGCATCCTAGCCCTGTGACGACCAAAACTGAATATATTTTTAAATACAGGAGAACGGCAGAAGCATAGTCAGGCAAACAGCTGCAGAGGGGAGCGTTTTCTCGCCTTCTAAGTGATCCAAGATGTGGCAGAGGAGGAGCCGGGCCTGACAACACACACACGGAGACGACTGTGTGCGGACCAAAATAACCGAGTTCAAAGCAGGTGCGAAGCTGCTCCTTCTGGAACAGCCCGCCACGATGGGCGTCACAAACGGGAACCCTGCTCCGGACCCGCCCAGGGACAGTCTGGAGAGCTGGGCCTGCCCAGGCCCGTGGAGGGGGCCCGGGCGGTCTGAGGCGGCGGGGGAGGGAGCCCGCCTGCCCCTGCCCTGCCCTGCCCCTGCCAGCCCCTTCGCCCTGCCCCCCCAGCCCCTGCCCTGCCCC